TAAATGAAACTCACTCTAACCATAAAAAAAACTCACTCATAAAAATCATAAGCAAATCACATTTCGATTTACTGATTAATGTCAAAGAGACAAAGACTACTGCGAATTTTTTTTTTTTACTTCTTTTCGATTGCTCCATCATCAACATTATCACTTCCAGCAATAACATCACATTTATCTTTATTAATAAAACCTATCTCCACCATCAATAATTTCTTTCTTCTTCTCCTCCTCATTACACCCAAAGCAAAATTTTAGATTTCATCTTGTTAATCAATTTGTTTGAAATTGGCATGTAATTTGTTGTTGGTAGACTCAGTTTGAAGCTCTCAAAGGCATATACTATGTGCTCTCGAAACAATGAATGTCAATCCTTAATCACGTGTTTGAGTATTTGCACCCAAATACCATTATCCTCAAAAAAGTAACAATATTTAATATTTCCAAATTTGAATCATAGAGTGAAAACTAGTGTGGTCATCATGAAAATATTAGTTTGTTTTTCTTAGTCGATAATTATTATAGCAAGCTGAAGAATAGTATTTGTCTTAGAATCGATGCGAGTCACTGCTCAGAAACATGATCGGAGACCCAACTCCTTTATTGAGTTGTTAGATCAAATAAAATTATGGTTTTCGTGTTAAATACTCTCTTCAGTAGTGAGAATCTCATTCACATATATGAGAAAAATCTACCACCTTAAAGATAAGAGTGCTCGTGAGCAATGTAAAAATATTCTGGTATGCATACTACGGAAAAAACTGAAAAGTAAGAGGGTTCAAGAAGGCGCGCCTAGGCGCACGCCTAGGCTCAATTAGGCGCTAGGCGGTGGAGGATCGCCTTGACTTGGCCATAGGCGTTGAAAAAGGCACTGGTAGCGCTTAGTAGGTAGGAATAGCGCTTAGTTTGCGCCTAGTGGAGAGAAGGCGTGCCTGGGCAAGCATAGGCGGTTAAACCCAGTACTCTTCGTTTTGTCCTAGAAAATCAGAAACTTGCCTCTTGCCCTAGAAAATCAAAAACAAGGGAAGTAACATATGCTGCCGCCTGCCGCCCTAGCGCTCGCCCCATCTTCTACCGCCTGCCGCCTTAGCTCTCGCCCCATTTGCTGCTCTCTGCCGCCGCAGGAGAAAGTCATCGATCACTCTTCTCGCCTTCACACAGCTCCGCTGCTATAGTGGGAAATAAAGTCGAAACTCGTCAATTGCTGCTCCTTCCTTCTCCTTGGTACGTAGCACAAGCTTCTTGCCTCTATAAGCACCTATTAGCATATGATTGGTCACTATTTGCTTTTTATTTGTTATGTTAAGTGTTTACTGTTAAGAACTAGGCATTGCTAATTTTATATGCACTTGGATTATATGAATTATTCAAGAAAACAGGAAATATTTGAGAATTTTTTCCATTTATGCTCTAAACGCCTAGGCGCGCCTAGGCTACGCCTAATCGGGCAAGACGCAAGTCAGGAGCCGAGCGCCTGCCTTACGCCTAGCGCCTTTTAGAACCTTGAGTAAGACTGCGGACAAATATAATCCAAAAAAATATGAAAACATGACAAACAAAATATTTTGAATGTCACACAATGGTTGCCCAATTAACAACATGCAATGCAACAATACAACTAATACATACTAATACTTACCATTTTTTGTTTTTGTAAAAGCAAATAAGAGATATCCAATATACTAATTTCCATGTCTTGGCTCCAAACTATACCCTACTTGGTTATTTATATCTTTTATATGATCTATGAACGACTTCAATTTGGCATGTTATAAAACAAAAAATGCAAGTCTATTAGCAATGTCATCTGACAGGTGGGACTTTCGAATAAATGTGACCATGAATGAATACAATTATGAAAATATCATTAAATTTAATTTTTCTAAGCCAAAATATGTAAATATTAAGTTGAAATGATGTATTAGTATTTAGTAATATTAGGATATTGATATTAAGGAGAGAGAATGGCTAGCTAATTGGAGAGCGGAGAGCAATAATAATTAGTTCTGACGATGAAGAGTAATAATTAGGGCTGGGCATGCGGGCGGATCATCCGCAGGTTTGGGCCGACCCACCCGCATTTGACCCGAATTTCATTAAGTGGGTGGGTCTGTGGGTGGGTGACGGGTTGCGCTGAGAGCCATCCGCCGGGTGGTGGGTGGGTTGTGGGTGAGTGTGCGGGTGACCCGCTCAACTCAACAGCAAAAAGATCAAAGTCGTTGGCGCTAGAGAGAGGAGAGTGGAGACGTTAGATATAAACTCGGACTGCTCCTGGAGTTTGAACCTCAAAGCCAACCTTCCAAATAGAGATCCCCTCTTCTTCCCTTTACTTTTTCCTCTAATTCTTGTGCCTAGATCACCGCTCTTTCCTTTGTGGAATTATTTTCCTTAGTTCCTTGGACCTATTAATCGTCTCAATCTGTAGAAAAGTCCTTCATAATAGAATTTCTATCCAATTTAAGAACTAATTCGACATTTTTCGCCCTATTTCAACTTCTTGTTTCCCTCGATGATTCTCTTCACCTATTATCATGTCAAGTTGAATCCTTTATATTATATACATTGTGATGTGGGTGAACCCACAAACCCACCCGCATCATCCACCATCCGCCCGACCCAACCCGAGACTAAATGTGGGTGGGTGGTGGGTTAAAAATTATCAATCCGTTTAAGCGCGGGTGGGTGCATTTTATGGTCAAAATCCACCCGACCCACCCAATGCCCACCCCTAGTAATAATATCCCCTTTCTAGCATGTCAAATTATTTAATTAAGACAAAACTTGTTTTTAGGGCAATAGCCGATTTATACTCATCTTTTTTGGGTTAATTTGTAGATATTTTTTTATAAATTAACATGGCAAAAATATCCTCACTAAATTCTCTCAGAGAGCTAGAAATCTCGAATGGAGTAGGTTCGGATGGAGAACCTTCATAAATAAGTGGTAGGAGGTAGGATAGGATGGAAATATCCTTCCTCAATACACATTAAGTATCGGATAATAACTTGGAGTTCAGTCACTCATCAACAGTAACTCGATGTTCGGATTTGCATGAAATTTGTTGTTTTCATGATCCAGTAAAAAAAAAACCTATGAGTCATTTGTCACCCGAGCTCATATTTTCAAAAAAATGTACCTGGCAAATACCTTGATTGTTTTTGTATGCAGGGACTTGTATATATATGTTAAATTATGTATAATTTTTTTTCTACAATCAATCGATATTTTTTTTATTAGATCACCATCATTGAGATATAATTAATTCGTAAGTATGATAATTAGAAAACAAGCGGTCTATCTATTAAATATCTTGATCATCTCGACAACAAAGTGAGAATAGGGAGAGGTCGAGAGACTAGTATGCTAACATTTTTTTAGTATGGTGCTAACACTTGCTCCAGTTGATGAGAATATTTCGTTTGGATAATTTTTTAATTTAAATGGGTTGACCACAATTAATGAGGGGAAAGTAGTGGAGGGGCACGCTTAATATTATGAAATATTTGGGGGAAAGGATCATCATAACTTGCCCATTAAATGGGGGAGGATTACATTAATTAGGGACCATAAAATTTCATACCACAATCACAAGTAACCATAGTAAAAGAAAACCGCAAACCATAGAAAGGAGACCACATCCTCATCAACGATTTCTTCTCGATTCCTCCTCCACAACGCTATGTGGAGTCGCAGAGCCTTAAAGAATCTAGCATGGCGATGTTGCGTAGTGCCGAAAATCGATTCCAGTTCTACCTCTTGCATCAGCCCTAAATACTCCCTGCTTCACGAGGTGTCGGCGGCGTTGTCTGAAGCATATCTCATCGGGGAGAGATTTGAAATTGTTTTTGTTCAAGAAAAAACATCAAAGAAGCAGTCCAAGGAGGCAACGATCTCTCATCACTAATCCAACTCAAATCTCTTCCTTCGTCGATGACAATTACGGTTCTGCCGATTGCATTGAGGATGACACAGCTACGGAGGAACTTCTGGGAAGGGAACATGAAATCGGGGGGTTCATCAAGAGAGGAGGAAGCAATGGATGTTTTCTAGCGAGCGTCGATGATAGGGTTTAGGGTGAGGCAGGAATGAGGTGTTAATATCGATGTGTTAGCATAATACTAATACTATATGATGTTAGCCCTCTATCCACTTTCGGACAGATAATGTGAGAAGTTGGCTACACAAATTACTACCACTCTTTTATAATAAAAAAATTCATTAGATCACTCTTAAATAAGAGGAACAAATCAAGATACGAGACTTACAATAGCATCATGCTTACTGCGAAACAAAGAAAAAAAGTCGAACCTCAAACAAATGAGGCAACAAGTAGGGATGACAATGGGTCGGGTTGGAGCGGGTTATGCCAAACCCAAACCGATGGGTGTATCCAAAAAAATCCGAGATAAAACCCACTAGATTTGGAAAACTCAAACCCAACCCAACCCAACCCGCTAGGTATCTGCGGGTTCATGAGTACCCATGAGTTCATGTACAAAGATGCAATCACACTAGTTTTCACTAACTCACAAATCATTCATACGAATTGTTCAATATTAGAGATAAACATCCACAAACAATATGATTAATTGAACGTGTGAGAAATTAGTTTAAAAATTATAATTAATTAGTTAAGGATCCCGTGGGTCGTGAGGGTATGGACTTGAGTGTGGATATCCATGGGTTAGATATGACTAAACCCAAACCCAACGCACTAAAAGTACAGCGGGTTTAAACCCGAATCCGGCCCGCAATCCGTCAAAGCGGTTTTATCCTTGTTGACCGAGTTGGGCCGGATAGGGTACCCGCAGATTCGGGTTCTACTGTCATCCCTAGCGACAAGAACAAAGCGTGAGTAGCCATCTGTCGAAATAAAATTAACAGTAAATTTCCTGTGGCCCAAATCTAGCCCACTCCCAGTTCGCGATGGAAAGCAAGGCACCTATAGCAGAATATGGGCTATTAATAAAATCCACATTCATTTTCTCATTTCGGCCCATCAACAAACGACGCTGTTTGGCCTCTCTCCAGTCAACACAAAACCCAGGTCAGTGCGTCGGACCATCGAATTCCGATCTCACTCGCATTTCACCGGCGAGGTCCGCTGCCAACTCGGATTCCGATATCTCTCCCCCCTAAGCCGCGCCCGCCATGGAGGAACGCAGTTACCAGGCCCAGGATGTTACCAGCAAGGATTTGCTCAGCTCTGATAACACTGTGGTTCCCGTGGATTTCTACGAAATTGCCGGCGATGACTCCTCTGAGCAGAAGTAATGCGTGGCTTACTGAATTCTTTCGTCATTGCTTGCCCTGTTACTTTTTTCTCAGCTTTGCATGCGATATCTGGAGCTGGGTTTTGGAGTGATGCTGTTTTGGATTCCTAGGGTTTATGAGAAAAAGTTCCCCCTTTTGACACTTAGAATGATGCTCCATTAGTTGTAAGAATGTCACATTTCCTTACTGAAGGCTGCTCAAGATAGGAAGTTATTGCTCCTGAAACCTAGCATGCCCATGGTGTTCTAGTTACCAAATCGACGGTATTGCTGTTTCATAATCGCACATGGGTAGCAACGGAGGCTCCCCCGAAAGGCTTTGGGAAGGGGGAACAATTGAGTTTGCAGAAATTTTAGGTGGTCTGGTTATCTGGGGTTAATTGCTATCTGTTCACCACCTTACATACTCCCCCTTTGCTGGTGGTTAGCCATGGTGATAACTGATAAGGGTTATTTGAAACCTCTTGTTTGTAGAGGGGTTATGATAGTGAAATTGCGCCGTGTGCAAGAACTAAGACTCGGGGCTATAACTAGGAAATGTATTGGGAAAGATCAAGCGAAATGTTCCCCAGCAGCCACCGTGACTTTCATGTATGAACCAGAGATCAAGATCAATGAAGATATGATGGCAAGATTGTCACTTGAGGAGAAGCAAAGTATAGTAGAGAGCAGCCCTACTAAGGTTTTCGACATCGATCCTACTACCCAACAGGTTGGTGAAACAATGCATCTTTGAATTTTGAATGATTGCTGCCTTGTCCTTTACCAAATAATTTATGTTAGGGTTTTATCAGATTGCTTCAAAGTGGTTTTGCTTTCTTTGAACGATTGTGTTTGCGGGTTTTGGTTGTGGATACTGAAGCATATACTTACGATGATGAAGTTATCAAGAAATTGGAATCAATGGGGAAGACAGGGCTTATGGACGGTTAAAGCTAAGGAGGACAGTTTCATATTCACGGTTGAGACGACCGGTGCTGTTCTGTTAAAGGCTTCTCAGTTGGTGCTCAATGCCATAGACATCCTTAAACAAAAGCTGGATGCTGTGTTGTTTGTCTGATGAATGATGATACGGTTGAAGCTGACGATCAGTTTGGTGAACTTGGTGTTCATATACGTGGCGGATAGGTAGTCTGCAGCTAGTAAATCAGACATGGTGAATATTTAGGAGGAGTTAGGACGCATCCCTGAACAAGGTCTTCCTTTTCTCTGCTTACTTTCATGTTGGGTTGAATGTAGCACTGGTTCAACCATCGCAGTCTTGCTTGGCATCTCATCATCTGTCTTCTTCCTCTTGTCATGGACGACTGAGTACACAATACATATATTTACGACAGCCGAGCCGACGACGCAAATGCATACAAAGTCAGTTAGCCCATCTCGTTCCTTAGCTATGATTTGATGATATAACAATGTGTACTATCGCGAACCAAAAGGCAGGCAGGCAGGCAGGCACAGGCTCACTCACTCACGGGTGTAATTAGCTCAGCTCAAACATGGCCAGATCTCTCTCCATCCTTTCATCTTTTTGGTTCTTTCTGGAAATCGAAACAAAAATGAAAACGAAAGTGCTTGCCGTTTCTTTTGCTGAAAAGCCCAACCACCCCACCACCAATTCGTTTCTTTTGCCCCGAAAACGTGGATGCAAATTGCAGAATGATCTTCTTGTTATTCTCTTCTTTCACCTATGTGCTGTATATAGAAGAGGAAATCATTTCATTTGGATCGAAATAAGGAGACCGCGCGCCAAAACTCTCCCTGCACGTCGCCGTCACACCGCCCTACGGACGGTCACCTTCATCATATATGTGTGTTTGCCGTTACTTCGATTGAGAGAAGAGACGAGACATGTTGGGCCTGAAATTTTAACGCAAATTGTTTGAAGGCGACTCTCTCTCTCTCTCCCTCCCCATTTGCAGTGCTGTATTTGGTTGTATACAGGACGAGGTAAGAAGATGAATCTCGTGCAGATGTGATGCTAATGGCACGTACCTGCTGCTGCTACCTAGTTGGAAATGTCATATCCCATCCCTGGTAACATCTTTGACATTTTCAAGTAGCTAGCTAGTAAGGTTAATTCAACTTAGCACGATTCTTGTATAAAAGCTATTGAATGAAACTATGTCGCACTACGATATGATGGGCCTATTATTATTTGTTTTGGAACTCTTAATTATTATGTCCTTGTCAAGTAGAATTGTTCGCTTCTCGTCATAAGAGGATCTCTCACTGGTAAGTTATAATACAAGTAACTATCTGTTCATTTTATAACCACGTTTCAGGGATGCATACACCACGATACGTAACGAGTGCAGTATTAACATATACATGCACTTGATTGACTAACAAATTTCACAGCTGGAAGAGCCAAGAATCAATGGATGCATGGTCACTCTCACTCTCCATCTCTCATTGCATGAACCAGGTTGAGTAGGGTTCATTATGATCCAACAAAAACATATATTTTGAGATCTGCTGTTACTCTTCAATCACTTTCTTGCACCATTTTCATCAGTTGCATAGAATAGGTCATTTTTGGGGGGCCTGCTCCCCATCTGTCATATTATTACTGTCCTTCTTCCCCCACAAACCCATGCTTGGTTGGGTTTCTTACATCAACAAAATGGTACTACTGCTTACTCTCACACTAACACATATCAATCTTCTTCTTTCTTTTTGGGTTTACACATCTGCATTCACAACGCATCAACTGTGAATGAATTTCCCCACCTTCCCGTTTCCCATTCTGGTTCACACATTATTGTTTTTTGTGTCATATTGCCTTCTGTAAATTAATCTCCCCATTGTTACAATGCCATGATGGTGCTCTTTGAAGTGTTCTTCTGCCCCATGCAAGTTTTAACCCAAAACTATGCAACTCAACATAGGTGGTAGGCAGAGTGAATGAGGCAATGCAGTTTGCAGTTGCAGCCACAGACTGCAATAGCAAAGCAAAACAGAAGAAGAAAAGGCAGCTAGCCCATTAAAGCAAATGCAAAAATTGGGCAATGCCATCCTTGTGAAAGTTTTTAATTTGGGTTGTGCAGAATTTATAAAAGGAAAAGATAACAAGGTACCATATATGTAATATATAATAAATTTAGGGGGGGAGGCAACCATTTCCCAGGCTGTCACAAGAGATACCCAAAATCTTTGTCTGAAACAACAGACATGCTTGCAGAATGGATGGGAACCAAAGTTTTCTTTTTTGTTCTTTATTATTTATTTATTTTCACATATTTGGGGACAATGACAATTATATATAAGCTGAATCTTTTTTTCAACACACCAAATACTTTTATTGTCCTTTTCTAAACCCAATTCTTTGCAAGATGGACAGTTGAGGACCTTAAATGCCCAATCCCCTTCCCCATTCCTATCTTCCCATCCCTTCACAATTTACTCCTCACCTTTTTTCCACTTGTAACTCTTTGGCTCTTTTACCTCCCAAGATTGTAACTTTTTTCCTTTTCCAAATAAGACACTAGTAAAAGTACAAAACCCATCTTTTTATTTTCCATTTCTTTCATTTTTACCTATTGAATTTGGCTTTGTTCACTTACATCTACCCTTATTATTAAGGACCACCAACCCCATATCTCTGCTCTTGCAATAAATCCTCCTACTCAATGCTACTTGTCTAGTTCCCATTTAACACTTGTGCTTTGCTTCCTCATCGTCCTACATCTTCTTCACCTCCTCCTCCTTCTTGGGCTTCTATTTATGTATCCAATGTAAATATGTTAGCTAACCTTTATATGGTGTTGTGATATTAGTTAGGAATATATGGTTGAGTTTGGGCAGAGTACTGGAGGACAATTTTCGAAAGGTTATATTCATTTTATAAGGTCCCATCCTCCAACTGTAAAACTGGAGTTTTTACTGGAGTTCAAATCGTACAATTTTGGACACTTCCTCCCTGCAATTAGCTCCTCCCTTCAGAGTTTAGAGGGAAGTTTTGAACATAAAACTTAATTTTTTTTTGTCATAGATAGTGGTAAGGAATAGATAGAGATCAACAAGCAACTAAACGCGACAGTTATTCCTAATTGATTTGTCGATAAAAGAGCCATTTTAGTTATTAAATGGGCAACTTTGTTAGTCCCTAGAAATAAAGTGAAAATAAACACTAAACTAAAAGGATGAAACGCTAAATGGACACATATAACTTAATCTTGGTTTTCAATGTAGATTTTATTACTTGATGATGGTGCTTGGGACATTGTTTAAATGAGATGTAATTTTTATAATTCAAATTCCGAATTTATGAGACATTTTGTTAGCCTCCTTTAATAGAGAGGACCAATGTATGAGAGTCATAACAGGACCAAGAGTGAATATTTGAATTCAATTATTAGGAAATTTAATTAATTGATTAGAGTAAGTGAAACCGATAAAATAGTATGATTTAATAAAAGTTAGGGCGTAAAAGTCTTGTAACTTTATCTCTACTTGTATAAATCATAATCAAGTTATTTTGTCAACGAACTATTTTTGACACACTACAATTTTCAGTCGATGGATTTGAGTTCTTCTCAATCGAGAAATTAGACAATGAAAGTTGTTTCGAAAAGCTACCAAACATAGATTGTTCTATTTGATCGCCTTAATCACTACTTTGATAAATTAATTAAAGTTTCACTTTATCTTACATATGCAGATTTAACATTACCTTCCTATGGGGACAACCTATCTCTGTATAGGCACAACTGCATTGAATACATGGAAGGGTAAACGAAAATACAACCATGTTTTATAATCAAGAAAGAGATAGGTGCAGCACAAACCCAACCAACACCACTTGATGATATTGATTGTTCTTTGAATTTGCAGATTTGGCTTGACTACTAAAAATAAATAACAACTTGGTATTGCATGCATGGAATTTATAAGCAGATTGTGACCACTTGAAATTATGCTCTATACATACCCATAAAAGATCCCCACACATTTTTCTCTCCATTGCATTGGATGCCCATTTGGTACTCTCTTTGATGAAGAAGAGAAGCAAAAAGGAAAAGGGGGGAAAAAACATTTATCTCTCACATTTAGCACAATTACTTGATTCACGCAATGGATGTGCAATAGCAAAACTGGTTTGACATAGGTTAAAATATCATTTAACAGCATGCTTTCATGGTAAAATTGTATATATACGGTACTAGACTTTATCGTACTAACAATTTGATCACTTAACTTTGATTTGCTTACATACCAATCTACAAATTCTAGAATAATTAACCAAACAGGCCAATATTTGCCTGCCTTAGATTTTTCGTCTACATAATCCATATATATTGATTAGCATATCAATTTGTCTACATTGATAACAAGACAAAATACACATAAACCCTAATTAGCTTACATGAATTCCCTTTGGAGTAACCAACAATCAATCCAACCGAAACTCATTACTTGATCCAATTCCCAACCATGATACTGAAAATCTGTCCTATTTGCTTTCTCTTCATATCCAATGACTAAGTAGATGATTCATGAAGCACACTAATACAAAGTGAAACTTCATACACAACACAACTGCATCGTAATTATAAGTTCGGTGTTTGATTTATCAGCAACTCTAAAGTATCGTGACCATCTATATAAATTGACCTGGATGTTTCAATTGGAAGGGAGAGAAAGAACCAGAGAGAGGGACCCTTCGTTTTGGTGTTCTGTTTCTGAATCTGATCTCATCTGCACTAACTAGTATAACCATTGGGGGCCAGCCTGAGAAAGACTTGCTCTGCTCAAGAACAACAAGGACCATACCAGCTGCATGAGGCTCTTAATTATTCAATACCCTCCCCTCCCACCCTCCTTTCCAACCCCATAAATTTCCATATCTTTTGTTGTGTATTTTAGTATTTTTCCCACCCATTTTTACATGTTTTTATTTTTGTAACTAGTGAGAAATTATATTGGGATGTGGTTCAATTCAATTATTGAGTTTGGTGGTGGTGTAGTCTGACTGTCTGAGTAGTAGAAACTTCTTTCACATGCATCTTCATGGTTCTATAATCTCATGTATGAAAGGAGTTTTTTTTTTTTTTTGTTTGTTTGGTTATTTAATGCAAGTGAGCAAATGGGTTATTAATGTTTCTTAGAATTTTAGCTACTTATAATTGTGGTTGTTGTGATTGTTTGAGAAGTGAACTTTTATGTGAGTCATGTACATTGGCGTAGATGAATTAATGTCAAACATTCTTTTTATCCACAATGCTAGCTACTCTACAATCTACATTCTTTATGGTAATCTGGATTTTTTTTTTAAAACAATGGAGGCGTAAAACACACCTAAGAAGATTGGTTCGGAGAAAGACTGAAAGGGCGGGTGAGACCTGCTAATCAAATATTCGACATTTGAAAGCAACGCCGCTCATAGCATCCTTTGTGATCATGACTAAGGCAGGGGCAGAATTTTCAAACTTGTGCAATCTAAATAGGTAGGCGATAATTTACTTAAAGAGTTAATCAACAACCCTATTGAGTTCGCAATATGTATGACATATGTGCACCCACCAATCACTCTATCAATAAAGATATAGTCACTGTACATTACTGATATACTAATGTGTATATAATTGAAATGTATATTTAAGTAGCCCTAACAACTGATGAATAAATGTAGTGTTCAGTACGACATAACAAAAACACATCATTGCTACGTACTATCAAAAACTAAAATGTGTACATGCATGGGAAGACAAGTCTGTTAATTGATATTGATATCTCAACCACTATTATATATATGAACAGATTATATAATATGATGATTGTCTTGTTCTCGCAGTAATCTCTGCCATCATAATAATTCTAATCTTTCTTATGTTATACTTCTCAATTAGCTACACAAGTGAAACATTAGTATGACATTTCTAGTTGAGTGTTGGCCCACTTATATTTATCAAAACCCAAAATTCTACTGAGGAGAAAGAATTATAATCATTATAACATTTGCCAAATGTAGGAAATGCAAGTGTGATATACATGTTTGCATTTATTGAAATAGATTTAATTGAAATTTATAGGCTTTCCAGCCATTGATCAGCTGTGACATGTAAACCTACATGATGGGTAAGGGGTATATATATAATAAGTTGGTGCTTAAATTAAATGCATTTGTCA